ATTTAAATTTAAAAATTATTAAAATTTTAAATTTTAAATTAAGATTTCAATTAAGATTGTAATTTTTTTTATAAAATCAAGATTAATACACATTAACTTTCAATTATATTTATATTACATTTTAATAATTAAACTATGTAAATATTAAAAATACATCAAATAAAAAAATATACTAATAATTTTTAAATTTTTAGCTAATACTTTTTTATAACATATTGCCTGTGTTGCTTTACATGGTGAAAAAACTCATTTTTTATAACATATTGCCTGTGTTGCTTTACATGGTGAAAAAACTCATTTCCATAAATCTGGATAAATTATATTTGACATGTCAAATATATCTCCAGGAAGGTAAAAGGTGCAGAAAATTGGTGGCCTAAAAATCTTCTATTCTGATTTACAATCTCAACACAGACCTACAAAAGCAAACAGTATAAGAAGCTGGGTGTTTAATTACTTTAATTACTATCAAAGAAAGGGAGAGGAAGGTTAGTAAACTTACTCTCTGTATATATGTATACTCGGAAGAACTTGTACAGGACAAATGCATGGGCTTTTTTCCTTCTTTTTTTTTTTTCAATCTGCTACGTGGAATGTCCAATCTCAACTGAGGAACAGAGACAACAGTTTCAAGGAGTTACTAGGAAGTAATCTCGAATTGTTCTTCGTTTTGAAGAGGAAGGAGGATTCAAGACAGAGCTTGGACTCTTTGATGCGGTTTTAGGTGTTTTTTCAAAGTTTTCTGTTGAATCCAGAACTGATAATGAAATCCTTTTCTTCTGGGCTTCAGGGGTGCAAAGGATAAAGTTTGGGGTAGGCCTGGATGACTTAATTTGGTGCAATACTTCATCTTCAGGATGTGAACTTCCAGGGTTCTTTGTTGGACCCAATAGTTCTTCATTGATGACAAGTTTCCTACATTCTGAACTCGGAATTGCCATTACTCTCCTTCTAACTGAAGATGGTGATCTTATGCTTGTGCTAAAGCTGCTTTCCATGTCCCATAATCGGACCTAAGGAAGAGTGAAAGTTCAAATGTGAGATACGCTAAAAATCAGTCTGGTTATTAATTTCACTCATATTCAGACGAGTAAATAAAGGAAAGCTTATTAAAATACTGATAAGAATATGCATGGCCTAAGCTGCAAAACATCTATAGACTAGTATTTATCATTTTAAATACTCACTGTGAAATCATCTGCGGCAGTTGCAATCTTCCCCATCTCGGATGGACACCTGCAGGTGGAAGCAGGAATGTGAAAACTTTAAAACCAACAAATCATGTAACTTAAAAAAGTGCCTGCATAATAACTATGAAAAAATTGAAAATTACCAATCTACTGCTGTGACTTCTCCATTGTGACTTTTCAATGTGGTTGGCTCTGCTTGGGGCTTGTTCACCTGGTTTTATTGTGTTCCTTTACCGGATTATTGTACAGAAAAAGACTAAACCAAAAAAATTCTTTTCTTTTTGGCTAAGAACAACTTACCTGCCAGACATAGGCATTTCCATCACTTGAACCACTCAATATATGAATTGCATCAGGGCTGATTGCTGACTGCAATTCCGTAAGTGAAATTAAAGATAAAACAGATAAAAAATCTACCAACTTAGTCATTAGCGAATCACATGACATCAATGGACATACCTTTACATAAAATGATCCTATTTGGCATCCGGAGTATGTCTGTGTAGGACCCTTGTCAAGCTGAAGTACATTGTACAAGTATATTCTAATAAAATATGGAAAAAAAGTCTGAATTAGACCTCAGCGATTTAAAGAAAATCACTTTTTTAAGCCATGCCTCTTTTATACTCAAGATGGAATTATATACCCTGGTCTGTCACTTCAGTATATAGGAAGCATCACAAAGTGAAAATTTTTCAAGGTTGTGGGCCCAAGTATTTTACATTCTACACTCAATTCAATACACAGCTTTAACGGAAAAGATGTTAAATAAGAAGTAATACCTATTGTCCATGCAGGATGCTGTGAGAAATACTCCATTTAAATCCTGGGACAAGCTAGATATGCCATGAGATCTTTCCTGAAATCAAGAATGTATGTTATTTTATATAAATAAAAACAACACGTCCCATAGATCATTCTGATCAATGCATTAGATACTAGAAATTCTTTTGCAGATTCATTTTAACTTAGGCTCCCTTTTTCATCAAACTATACTGCATTACTAGTATCATAACAAAATTTTGAGCAAGGAATCTAACTACTATTATTGGTTTATAACAGTCAGGAGTTGCTGAACCGGACAGAAGTGCTTCCTCTACAAGAATTGAGCTGTTATCCACCTCATGGAAAAATATAAGGCAGACGATGATAAAGTTATTAATTTGAATATAAAGTATAAACTAACCTTTTGAGTCGATGAATTTTGACGTGGACGTGCCTGAGTAACATGAGTTTTCAGATTTCTGACATCCCAGAACTTTACTATACTGAAAATACAACAACAAGAGGCAAACTTTAGCACGACATAAGCTAGTTCTACTTGAGAATTCAAAAGTAACTCTTTGGAGTAGCTCATCAGCTTCTCAATTACCTGTCTACCGCTCCTGCTGTAGCAATGGAAATCTCATCTTTGAGATATAGAACTGATGTGATGCTCATGGAAGCAGCCTGAAAGAGTTAAAGATTAAAAAAAAGCTTACAGCTAATGAGTGAAGAGACTCAAGCAGTGAACAAACCTTGACACGCTTAACCCGTCTTGCTTGAGTTGAAACATGAGCTCTTTTGACCATAGCTGTGGAGCTGAGTGAAATTACAATAATAGCATTAAAACAAGTGAAAAATAGTGTGGTTGAGGGCTTAAAAAATGTAATCTACTTGAGCACTTGAAAGATTAGTAGCAACACGTCACCTAATGCAATCTTCTCTGCATCTGCTCTTGGAACTAATGTTGCATCTTAAGTCCCATAAAGCAAAGGACCCATCTCTTGAACCAGAGATAATAATATCTGTTAAACAAATGAAATTGAACTTATCAATATGGGAAAAAAGTTGACTTTCTTGAATAAATTAGATATCTTTCAAGAAAAACACCAGAATTTGCTGGATGAGAACTCATAGATTTCACACTTCCTGTATGCCCAATCAGCACTCCGGAGCATTTCTTTTCATGTGCGTCCCACACCCTTATCTGCACAAAAGACAACAGAAATTCAATTGCCTTAGATTCTGAAACAAATGATCTTAATCTTATTCCAGTTTTTAAGGTCCATTTGAAGACTAGAGAGTTGAATGTCTACTCTTTGACCACTTGAAATCTTCTAATTGAGTGGCTTAATTCAAACCCACTTACAACTTTCCTGTCAATCAAAAATGCTAAAGCAAACAATTTCCATTTCCAGTGATTTACTTACAGTTTGATCCCCTGAAGCTGTCAAAATGTTAGTGTCTTCCTGAAAGAAATTTCAGTAACATTAGCACCAAAGGACCGAACTCAGAAGCTTTGATTAGAACAGAGATCCCTATTAGTCATTAATTTCAAAGTTTGTCAAAAACATCTTTAAGTTCCACTCATGTTCAATAAAGGGTATCTAAAAATCAAGTTTATATTGAACAGCAAATTCATGGGGTACCTTGATCCAGCATATATCAAAGATTGCATTCTGATGTGCGACCCAATCGGTTATTCTCGCTTTCACTGCGGAGAAATTTATGAGAAAAAAGATTAGCATTGCAGTGGCCAAAAAAATAGAATAAGCAAAGCTTTTCTTTCTTTTCAGACTAAACTTAGCAAACCTGCATTATCCTGGCGAGAAGAACTTGAAGAAAACTTTCCACCAGAATCAAACAAGTTCACGTATCCATCTTCATCGGACACCGCAAAAACATGAGAATTTTTGCTTGCCTGTGAAATTAGGTTTTCAAAAAAAGGTAAAATCAGCAGAATCGATATATAATAAGGTTTTTTAAAAAAACAAAACACGAAAATGAATGCAGACTGCTGGTCTGAAATTCGAAAAAACTAAGACCTTGCAAAAGGAAACGGCCATCGGAGGCGTCTCTTCCCCGGCGTGCTCAATAGCCAGAGCTCCAATTTCAGTGAAATCCAATGCCAAATCGTTGACATATGGTCGTTTTCTAACTGAAGAAGAAAGCCGATGAATAGTGATTTCTTCAGTCATAAATCACAGATATGAATGAACATAAAGAGACGGCCATGGATGGCGGAAGAGGGAAAGTGAGGTACCTCGAAATCCATTGAGCTCTCTGGATCTGATGCCGTGGAAGAATGACTGGGATTCGGAGGCTTCCATTTGCGGCGATCAAAGGCTGCGCAGAGAAGGATGGGGCGGGGGAGAAAAAGGAAGAGAGCAAATTGTGAAGAGGAAAGGATTGTTCGTGGAGGGAGGGAAATGATTTTATGGAATTCAATTTGGCGCGTAGTAGAATCTGCTTGGTCTGGCGGGAAAACTCATAATTTCTTTTTTGGTATCGCCCCTCTCCTATTTTCTCTTTTTACTTACATATTTTTTTAATATTCTTTAATGATGATGAGGTGCTCTTTTCGTATATAAATATTATATATTATATTTATATAAAATATTAATTTTTTATTTTTAATAATTAAAATTTATTATGATTTTTTAAATAAAAATAAT